AATCTCTTGTCTTCAGGTATTGGAGATCATATTTCTGTACCAATTCAAGATATGCGTATTGGCCTCTATGTACTAACAATTGGGAATCGCAAGGTATTTGTACAAATACGTAAATCCATGTAACCACAGAAACTATCAAAATGAAATAGTTGACGATAATAACTATCAGTATACAAAAGAGAAAGAACCTTATTTTTGTAGTTCCTATGATGCGCTTGGAGCTTATCATCATAAACGAATCGACTTATACATTCCTTAGTGGCTCCGGTGACAACTAGATCATTGCGTGATTCCCTCAATAAATAGAGAAGTTCCCATTGAAGTTCAATATGAATCTTTGGGTATCTACCATGAGATTCACGAGCACTATCGAACAGTAAAAAGTGTAAAAAAAGAAATCGTTTGTAGATACATTCGAACCACTGTTGGTCATATTTCTTTTTATCGAGAAATGGAAGAAGCTATACAAGGGTTTTGTCGAACCTATTGATCTGGTACCTAAGTAATTATGTGATACCCGTGAGAATAAAGATATCTCTGGTTCAACAGGTATCACAATTCCAAAATTTGTACATGAATCAAGATAGAGGAAAAGGGAAATAAGTCTTCGAATCACAGACGGAAACTCATTGTCGAATCTTACTCACCAGAATATGGAGGTGCTTATGGCAGAACGAGTCGATCTGGTCTTTCACAATAAAGCGATAGATGGAACTGCCATGAAACAACTTATTAGTAGATTAATAGATCATTTTGGAATGGCATATACATCACACATTCTGGATCAAGCAAAGACTCTGGGTTTTCGACAAGCCACTTTGACATCAATTTCATTAGGAATTGATGATCTTTTAACAATGCCTTCTAAGGGATGGTTAGTACAAGATGCGGAACAACAAAGTTTGAGTTTGGAAAAGCACCAGCATTATGGGAATGTATATGCAATAGAAAAATTACGCCAATCAATTGAGATATGGTATGCTACAAGTGAATATTTGAGACAAGAAATGAATCCAAACTTAAGGATGACTGATTCTTTTAATTCAATCTATATAATGTCCATTTCGGGAGCCAGAAGAAATGCATCTCAGGTCCACCAATTAGTAGGTATGAGAGGATTAATGTCGGATCCCTAAGGTCAAATGATTGATTTTCTCATTCAAAGTAATTTACGTGAAGGGCTTTCTTTAATGGAATATACCATTTCTTGATACGGAGCCCACAAAGGAGTTGTGGATACTGTTGTACGAACATCAGATGCTGAATACCTCACGCGTAGACACATTGTTGTACGTAGAACGGACTATGGCACTATCTGAGGTATTTTCGTAAGTCCTCGAATGGGGTTGGGGTGATGGAAAGGATTTTTATCCAAACACTAATTGGTCGCGTATTAGCAAACGATGTATATATGGGTCTGCAATGCATTGCAACTCAAAATCAAGATATTGGGATTAGACTTGTCAATCGATTCATAACCTCTCAGGCACAATCAATATATATTCGAAGCCCCTTCACTTGTAGGAGTACATCTTGGATCTGTTAATTATGTTATGGTTGGAGTACAACTCACTGTAACCTGGTCTAATTAGGAGAATCTGTAGGTACTATTGCACGTCAATCAATTGGAGAACCGGGAACTCAACTAACATTAAGAACTTCTCATATCGGTGGAGTATTCATAGGCGGTATCACCCAACATGTACGAGCTCCTTCTAATGGAAAAATCAAATTCAATGAGGATTTAGTTCATCCCACACGTACAAATCATGGACATCCCGCTTTTCTATGCTATATAGACCTGCATGTAACTATTGAGAGTCAGGATATTATACATAAAGTGAATATTCCAACAAAAAGTTTTCTTTTGGATCAAAATGATCAATATCTAGAATCATAACAAGTGATTGCTGAGATTCGCATTGGAACATTCACTTTAAAAGAGAGGGTTCAAAAGCATATTTATTTGGACTCAAAGGGAGAGATGCACTAGAGTACCGATGTGTACCATACACCCGAATATACACATGGTAATGTTCATCTCTTACCCAAAACAAGTCATTTATGGGTATTATTAGGAAGTCCATGCAGATCCAATATAGTGTCGTTTCCACTCCACAAGGATCAAAATCAAATGAATGTTCAATCTCTTTATGTCGAAGAGAGATATATTTCTGACCTCTGGATGAATAATGATCGAGTGAGACACAAATTGTTTGGGTGGGATCAAAAAAGGGGGAGGGTTTCTTATTATTCAGAACCTGATCGAATCATATCCAACAGAAATTGGGATTCCATATATCCACTTATTCTCCACGAGAATTCTGATTTATTGGCGAAGAGGCGAAGAAATAGATTCATCATCCCATTCCAATATGATCAAGAGTAGGAGAAGGAACTAAGGTCTCCTGGTATCGTGATTAAAATACCCATAAAAGGTATTTTACGTAGAGATAGTATTCTTGCCTATTTCGACGATCCCGATACAGAAGTAGTTCATGAATTGCCAAATATGGGACCATAGAAGTCGATTGGATAATAAAAAGAAGAAGATTTAATTGAATATCAAAAGACAAGAGAGTTTGGACCAAAATACCAAATCCAAATCAAAGTAAATCGGCTTTTTTTCATTCCTGAAGAAGTGCATATCTTACCTAGATCTTTGTCCATAATGGTATGGATAATAGTATCATTGGAGTAGATACACGAATCGCTTTGAATATAAGAAGTCAAGTAGGCGGCTTGGTCCGCGTGGCGAAAAAAAAAAAAAGGATTGAATTGAAAATATCTTCTGGGATATCCATTTTCCTGGAGAGATGGATAATATATCCCGGTATAGCAGCATCTTGATACCACCAAGAAGGGTAAAAAACATGGAATCAAAATAAAAAAATTGGATCTATGTCTAACAGATCACACTTACCAAGAAAAAGTATTTTGTTTCAGTCTGACCCGTAGTGACTTATGAAATTGCCGATGGGATAAATCTAGCAATGTTTTTTCCCTAGGATCTATTATAGGAAAGAATAATTTGCAACTACAAGTTGTCAATTGTATTCTTTATGGAGATGGCAAACCAATTCGAGGAATTTTTCATACAAGCATTCAATTAGTTCGGACTTGCTTAGTATTGAATTGGGCTCAAGACCGAAATGGTACTATAGAAGAAGAAGAGGCTTATACTTCCCTCACTGTAGTAAGGGTAAACGATCTGATTCGAAATTTTATAGGAATTGATTTGGTGAAGTCTCCTATTTCATGTACTGGAAAAGAGAATGATATGGCGGGTTCAGGATTTATTCCTAATAATGGATCATTTCACATCAGTACCAATCCTTTGTTTTCCAAGGCGAAGACTCAATCACTTAGCCAACATCAAGGAACTATTCGTACATTGCATAATAGAAATAAGGAAGGCCAGGGCGAATCTCTTATGGTTTTGTCATCATCTAATTGTTCTCGAATTGGTCCATTGAATGGTTCGAAATGTCACAATGTGACAAAAGAATCAATTCAAGAGGATCGCATGATTTCAATTAGGAATTCGTTGGGTCCATTACGGACTGTACCTAACATTTTGAATTTTTCGTCATCTTATCATTCAATAACTCAGAATGAGATCTTGTTAAATAAATATTTACTACTTGACAATTCAAGAGAGACTTTCCTAGTGCCTAAATCTTATTTAATGGATGAAAATAGAAGGATTTATAATCTTGATCCATGCAGTAACATCATTTTGACTCCATTCACTTTGAATTGGTGCTTTCTCTATCACGATTATTGGGACGATACATCAACAATAATTAGCCTTAGATAGTTTCTTTGTGAAAATATATGTCTATCCAAAGACAGACGGTGCATAAAATCTGGTCAAATTATAATTGTTCATGTTGACTCTTTAGTAATAAGATTAGCTAAGTACCATTTGGCTACCCGCGGAGCAACCGTTCATGGTCATTATGGAGAAATCCTTTACGAGGGAGATACATTAGTTATTTTTATATGTGAAAAATCATGATCTAGTGATATAACTCAAGGTCTTCCAAAAGTTGAACAAGTATTAGAAGTTCGTTCGATTGATTCAATATCAATGAACCTAAAAAAGATGGTTGAAGGCTGGAATGAATGCATAACAGGATTTCTTGGAATTCCCTGGGAATTCTTTATTAGTGCTTAGCTACCCATAGTGCAAAGTAATATCTCTTTGGTTAATAAGATCCAAAAGGTTTATCGATCCCAGGATGTGCAGATCCCTAATAGGCATGTAGAAATAATTGTACGACAAATAACATCAAAAGTTTTGGTTTTAGAAGATGGAATGTCTAATGTTTTTTCACCCAAAGAACTAATCAGATTGTTGCGAGCTAAGAGAATAGATCGTGCTTTCGAATAAGATATATGTTACATAGCTATTCTAATGGGAATAACAAGGGCATCTCTGAATACTCAAAGTTTCATATCAGAAGCGAGTTTTCAAGAAACCACTTAGGTTTTAGCGAAAGCCGCTCTCCGAAGTCGTATTGATTAGTTGAAATGTCTGAATAAGAATGCTGTTCTGGGGAGGATGATACCTGTTGGTACCGGATTCAAAGGATTCGTTCACCACTCCAAGGAGCACAACAACATTTCTTTGGAAATAAAAAAGAAGAATTTATTCGATGAGAAGATGAGAGATATTTTGTTCCACCACAGAGAATTTTGTGGTTCGTGCATCCCAAAGAATTTTCATGATACATCAGAACAATCATTCTATGGGATTTAATGATTCAGAAGAGAAAATTCATTATTTTATCTATATTATATTATACAGCTACAGATTATACAGTCGTTTGATAAGAAATTTAATTTAATTTAAATTTAATAAGGAATAGAAAGGAGTGAAAAGCTTGGACCATGTATCAACGGTTCATCCCTATTAGAAGGTTCCGTAGGAACAATTCTATATTTCAAATTCAGGGTACCTCATTCCTGAAAAAAAAGAGGAAGTGCGGGTAGAAATGGCAAGAAGTTATTGGGACATCAATTTGGAAGAGATGATAGGAGTTGGGGTTCATTTTGGTCATGGTACTAGGAAATGGATTCCTAGAATGGCACCTTATATCTCTGGAAAGCGTAAAGGCATTCATATTACAAATCTTACTAGAACTGCTTGTTCTTTATCAGAAACCTGTGATTTAGTTTTTGATGCAGCAAGTAGAGGAAAGCACTTCTTAATAGTAGGTACGAAAGATAAAGCAGTTGATTCAGTAGCATCAGCTACAATAAGGGCTCGGTGTCATTATGTTAATAAAAAATGGCTTGGTGGTATGTCAACAAATTGGTCCACTACATAAACAAGACTTCATAAGTTCAGGGACTTGAGAGCAGAACAAAAGATGGGTCGATTAAATCGTCTCTCGAAAAGAGATGCAGCAATGTTGAAGAGACAGTTATCTCACTTGCAAACATATTTGGGCGGGATCAAATATATGATGGGATTACCCGATATTGTAATCATCGTGGATCACCAAGAAGAATATACGGCTATTAGAGAATGCCTCACTTTGGGTATTCAGACGATTTGTTTAATCGATACAAATTGTGATCCGGATCTCGCAAATATTCTGATTCCTGCTAACGAGGACACTATAGCTTCAATCCAATTGATTCTTAATAAATTATTATTGGCAATTCGTGAGGGTCATTATAGCTATCTAGGAAGTCATTGATTAAAAATAAGATCAGTCAATTATAATAAGATAAGTCAATTATTTCAGTAAATCAAGGATTTATTGAATCGGTTACTATTCTTGAAACTGGAAAAAGAGATTCAAATCAATAGTCATGATATCTAATTACTTCTTACAGGGTATCCGGAATATACTATGCGATTAAAGTAAAGTCAAAGCCAAAGTAGGAGAGTCGAGAAAGAGATGATTGAATCAAAATAATTCCTTCTTAACTTAAGTTTCATTTCTATCAGGGGGTAATATGAATGTTTTACCATGTTCCATCAACACACTAAAAGGGATATACGATCTATTCGGTATGGAAGTAGGCCAACATTTCTATTGGCAAATTGGGGGTTTCCAAGTCCATGCCCAAGTACTTATAACTTCTTGGGTCATAATTGTTATCTTATTAGGTTCAGCCACTATAGTTGTTTAAAATCCGCAAACCATTCCAACCGATGGTCAGAATTTCTTCGAATATGTACTTGAATTCATTCGAGACTTAACCAAAACTCAGATTGGAGAAGAAGAATATGGTCCATGGTTCCCTTTATTGGAACTACGTTCCTATTTATTTTTGTTTCTAACTGGTCCAGTGCTCTTTTACCTCGAAAAATCATAGAGTTACCTCAGGGGGAGTTAGCTGCACCTACAAATGATATAAATACTAATGTTCCTTTAGCTTTACCCACGACAGTGGCATATTTCTATGCAAGTATTAGCAACAAAGGATTGGGTTATTTTGGTAAATATATTCAACCAACTCCCATACTTTTACCAATTAATATCTTAGAAGATTTCACAAAACCTTTATCACTTAGTTTTCAACTTTTTGGGAATATATTGGCTGATGAATTAGTAGTTGTTGTTCTTATTTCTTTAGTCCCTTCATTGATTCCTATACTTGTCATGTTCCTCGGATTATTCACAAGCGGTATTCAAGCTTTGATTTTGCAACTTTAGCCGTGGCTTATAGGCGAATCCATGGAGCGCCATCATTGAATAACTTTCAAAATCAATCACAATCAAAATAGTCCTTTTTAAAATAAAAATGAAAAAGCCCATGAATGTTATTCCAATTCATGGGTGGCTAAAGATACCCCTTGGGGTTGGGGAACATGATAGATACGGCAATCTACGGTACATATGATATAGAATGGTAGAAAGAGATATTTACGTAATTACAAAATTCTAAAAGCAAACAAAAAGGAAAACCCTTAAAAAGTCTTTTTCTAAGATTCTCATTTGTCTCATTCATCTCATAATTTGAATAACAATTGTTATCTGTTTGTGACATGCGACAAAAAAAAAGAACTTACTTCTACTCCCATGTATATGTAACCATTAACCACTCTCATTTCATTTGGTTTCCTTTTATTCAATCAATGATTGATCAAAAATTGTAATTAACTGCAATCGGATCCATTAAATTTTGATGTGTAACGATTCAAGCTGATGGATCTGTCTGTTTGTATCTGTGTGTTGATAAAGAAGAGGAGTTTACAAACATGAATAAGATTCAAAGTGGGTTAGGAATGATTCTAGGATACGATCCAATTCTATAAAATCCATTTCTATTCTATATAAGACTAAGATGAGGATGGTTTACATTATGGAAGAGACACATGTATATGTGATATTAGATACTCATAAGTCATTAGTTATAGATGGACTATCCGTTATGGACTATCCATATAGTGTAATTTTCTATTTCCCACTTCCCACCAAACCAAATTAGATAGATTCCGATATAAGCTCGTCATGTGATTGTGGATTGAATGAATAAACGGATCAGATAAAATCAATCAAATCATATGCATATAATGGAGAAAGAGCGAAGAATTGAAAGAAAGGTTCGGGAACAGAATGATACGAGACCCGGGACCTGACCTAACCTAATGAAGTATCTTATCGAGAACTTCAATTAAATAAAAATAAGATATGGGGTGAAGCGATACAAAACGAACTCCGTTTGGTTTTGTCAGTCCTATCTAGAAAAGGAAAGTATATGAAAAATGTAACTGACTCTTTCGTTTCCTTGGGCCACTGGCCATCTGCCGGAAATTTCAAATTTAATACCGATATTTTTGCAACAAATCTAATAAATCCAAGTGTGGTGCTTGGTGTGTTGATTTTTTTTAGAAAAGAAGTGTGTGCGAGTTGTTTATTTCAAGAATAGGCTATATCCTACCAGCTGCACTTTAATCATTCTCGTTTATATTAGAATTATATATTTTATTTTTTTACTATACTATAACAATAAAAGAAAAATAAAACTAAAAAATAAAAGAAAATCCATAAAATCTCATTTTCATATTTTTTTTATTTTTTACAATTTGCATAATTAATTCTAAATTAGATTAGAATTCCTTTTCTTAATTTGTATTAATTTTTAGAATTTATGTAATTTATTTTATTTATTTCTTATTTTATTTGTATTTGAGTCCCTTTTATTTTTAAATAGATATTCCTATATCTTTTATTTGATCTTTTAATTTCTTATTTTATTTATAAATTTAAATTCTATTTTAGATTGATATTCAATCATTTTATATTTATATATTATTTCTAATCTAAAATTAAAATAATTCTAAAATTATAAAAATAAAAATGAAATAAAATGAGTGAAAATTTAAATTCAATTTAAACATCTAAAATTAAAATATAGAATAGAAATTCTTATATTTTATATTATTAGAATTAGTTGAAATATTCTAATAACTAAATATTTCTATCTCTAAAATAGAAATTCGATTCTACTAAATTAAAAGAAATTAAAATAGTAATAATTTAAATAATAAAAATTAGTTATACTTATATACTTATATTTATATTTAATAATAATAATTATATACTAATAATTTAATAAAGATAATAATCATATTATAAATGATGTTATAAGTTATAAAATAATAAATAAATGAAAGGAATTAAGGTACATGATCCCGACGAATTGCTTCTGAATAAATAAAGAAATCATATGCAAGAACTATAGGATTTCGTGACTCATTGGTAAATTCACTTTGATTCTTTATCAACCAATCCAATAATGTAGGACCCTTTACATGGTTAAAGCTAAAGTTTGAAGTCCAGGCACAATGGGGTACTCTTTCTACCACTGCATTAGTAGAGATGGTTTCAAAACGAAGAGTTTGTAATTTATCTGATATAGAACACTAATATCAATAAAAAATAATTGTGAACCATTCACTGTAAAAAAAATGGACACTCCGACTTTTTTTATCCACTGCTGAATTGACGACCTATGTAGAATAAAAATTCTTTGAATTTAAAGATAATCAAATTAATGAAACGACTTTCTGGACAGTTACCTGGTCGGGGGATCCTAGTCTTGTATCAGTTTCGATATCTTAGAAGACGAAGAGAGAGGGTACGCTCATTAAAAGATACGGGAGTGTCCCATAAGTAACTGAGCGTGGGAGCCAAATGAATTGAAAGATTCATGTTCGGTTCAGGAAGAGATCATAGAAGTTATGGAATTGATATGGAGACAATCTACTTTCATTAAGTGATTTATTAGATAATCGAAATCAGACAATCTTCAGTACAATTCGCAATTCAGAAGAACTACGTGGGGGAGCCATTGAGCAGCTTGAAAAGGCCCGAGCTCGCTTACGGAAATTGGAAATTGAAGCAGGTGAGTTTCAAGTGAATGGATACTCTTAGATAGAAGGAGAAAAAAGGAATTTGATTAATGCTGCTTATGAAAATTTCGAACGATTAGAAAATTACAAAAATGAAAGCATTCATTTTGAACAACAAAGAGCGAGGAATAAGGTCCGACAACGAGTTTTCCAACAAGCCTTGCAAGGAGCTCTAGAAACTCTGAATAGTTATTTGAACAACGAGTTACATTTACGCACCATCAGTGCTAACATTGGCATGCTCGGGACCATGAAGATATAACTGATTAGTTTACCACTACCATAGGCATTTTTTTTTTTTCTTTTTTGTTTTCCTTGTTTTGCTTCCGAAAAAGAATTAAGAGGCACTAATGGTAATCATTCGAGCTGACGAAATTAGTAATATTATCCGTGAACGGATTGAACAATATAATAGAGAAGTAAAGATTGTCAATATTGGTACTGTACTTCAAGTGGGCGATGGCATTGCTTGTATTCATGGTCTTGATGAAGTAATGGTGAGTGAATTCGTAGAATTTGAAGAGAGTACAATAGGCATTGCTCCAAATTTGGAATCCAATAATATTGGTGTTGTATTAATGGGTGATGGTTTAATGATACAGGAGGGCAGTTCTGTAAAAGCAAAATTAAGAATTGCTCAAATACCAGTGAGAGGCTTATTTTGGTCGTGTTATAAATGTTCTTGCTAAACCCATTGATGGGAGAGCTGAAATTTCATCTTCCGAATCTCGGTTAATTGAATCCCCCGCACCAGGTATTATTTCGAGATGTTTTGTATATGAACCTCTTCAAACAGGTCTTATTACTATTGATTCCATGCTTCCTATGGGATGCGGTCAGCGATACTTAATTATTGGGGACAGACAAACCGGTAAAATAGTCGTAGCTACAGATACTATTCTGAATCAAAAAGGGCAAAATGTAATATGTGTTTATGTAGCTATTGGTCAAAAAGCATCTTCCATGGCTCAGGTAGTGACTACTTTCCAGGAACAAGGAGCAATGGAATACACTATTGTGGTAGCTAAAACGGCGGATTCACCTGCTGCATTACAATACCTCGCTCCTTACACAGAAGTAGCCTGAATATTTTACGTACCGTGAATGACATAGTTTAATAATTCATGATGATCCCTCTAAACAAGTACAAGCTTATCGTCAAATGTCTCTTCTATTAAGAAGACCGCTTGGTCACGAAGCTTATTCAGGAGATGTTTTTTATTTGCATTCCTGACTTTTGGGAAGAGCCGCTAAATCAAGTTCTTTGTTCCCTATTTCTATTCGTGAGAATCCTGAGGAAATGATTTTATTTCCACCGAGCCAAAACTACATGCCGATACCCCTAGTAAACTAAAATCATCATTGAATAGCTATTTGGCTTCAATCTCTCTTTTACAAAAATCGAAGATTTAGTTACGATTAGAAATAGATTTTTGTATCTTCGTCCATGGATCCCTTACTCATACTCATCCAATTGGAAGGACGAATCCAGCTAAAACTAAAAACAATTATGCTTCACAACTCCATAATCCAAAGAATTTTTTATTATTATTTATATTTCCCTTTGGATACAAATCACGAGAACGTATATTTTTTCCTCAATAATGGCATTTCCAAGAAAGGATTCAATCCTTTTAAGAAATAAAGTTTTTGATTGGAATCGGAATCAAATCAAGGGACACTTAACTTTTTTGTTTGGTAACAGAATGAATCACACTTTTACCATTAAACTACACCTGCTGCAATGAAATTCCTTAATTCATTCTTCCGGTAAGGATCAATTTGATGGATCCAACAAACAATGAAAATCAATTAAAAAAGAGAGTGTTCTTATTCGAAGCGCCTCGTGTTCTTCAACCAATTCTGTGTTTCAATATAATTACCTAGAGTAAGCGCCATAGCGTGTTTCCAATACTCAGCTGCTTGATCCGACCAAGTCTCTGCGATTTTATAATCTCCCTGTCGAATGGCCTGTTCTCCCTGGTCGGGATAGGTGGATCAATTCCTTCCCTTAGAACCATAATTGAGAGTTTCCTACCTCATATGGCTCAGCAGTTAACTCTTTTGGCATTCCGTCTTAATCTAATGTATCTAATTGAATGAGATTTCTTGTACATCCATCCCAATTTCCGAAATTAACCAAATAACCAAAAGAGGTTAATTACATGATTTTCAAACTCAAATTTCCATCAATCAAATAATCAGTTTTATCTCTTCTCCCACCTTCAGAAGAATGAAGCTGAAGCATAGATATCTCCATCTCCCCCTATCGTTAGAATTTTCTGAAACGTAACTATCTCATTTTCGTTCGTATAGAAATTCATATAGAATCTTTGAAAAATACCTTTCTCGATAATAAAGGACTTACTATCTTTAGGATCTGATGCTACACCGCTGCTCAGCACCTTAGTGGACCATCAACTCTATCACAGAAGTTGATTCTTAACTTTATATCTCATATCTTGACATAAGTAAGCAGGTCTTATTGTATGGGCTCAAAACCTCAATCATTTATCTTTACGGTGCTTCTTCTATCAATTAGATCTTTTATCCATAGAAATCAATATATAGGCCATATCCATTTCTTTATATCCCAGCTCCTATGAAGTCTTTTTCTTTGCTACAGCTGATAAAAACCATTCCTTAACATAATGTATATGTAGAAGGCCTTTTTTGTTTTCTTTTGTTTGTTTCTCCTTCTAGTATTTACTAGCGGATTTTCTATTTCTTTCCTTCTGTAATTTTTTATTACAATGTTAAATAATTGTACTGCAATGTAAAACAATTGTATTACAATTGTATTACATTGTATTACATTGTATTACATTTTGTATTACAATGTATTACAATTGCATTATATTGTATTACAATTGTATTACATTCAATGTAATACAATTGTTTTACCATGTACAATTGTATTACATTGTATTACAATTGTATTACATTGTATTATAATTGTATTACAATTGTATTATATTGTATTACAATTTGTTAAAATGTAAAAGAATTGTATTACAATGTCAAGGCTAACCTGGTGTAACACCACATGCCCAACAAGGGTTCCTTTACTGTCGATCCAAAGAAAAGCTCTTGACCTTGATTATGGCCCTTCCTAAAGGGGTCCCTCACCAGCAACCAAACAAGCTCTCGATGTGGATGATGGGCCTTCCTAAAGGGGTCCCCCACTGGCAACAAAAATGCCAGGGTTAAGAATTTGAAATTATGAAAACCTCTGAAGTTAAGTGGAGTGGCCAGAAAATCCAACTCGAGTTTCAAGCTTGTATAACTCATCGACATCTCACATCAAAAACCTTAAAATGAAAATGCCCTAGGTGGGTGAGCTCGGTGAGCACAATGATTGGAAGGGATTACTTCGTATGCTTTCTGACCACATAACGTAAGGATGAAAGATAAAATGTTTGGATTATGTTTATTGCACACCTGCCCCTCGAAGGACAGGAACGCCAAATTGTCTACTTCTTTACCACTCACTTGTCCCTCGAAGGACAGGGAGCGTCAAAGAGGGTTAACTGTAGACAGCCCATTTTAAACTAAACAATTCTGTGATTTTTTTGAACCCTTAGGACCACACTATACTAGTAAAGTCCCCAGATCATAGACCACCGTAGTGCATACTGCCTACCCTGTGATCCAGAATCTTGCAGATCCCTTGTTTTGATCTAGAAACCTACAGATACCTGTTTGGATCCAAAATCGAGTAGAATACCCAATTTTACTAAAAAAATCAAAAAAAATAGTAAAATAACTCCTTTTAACCAAAATATTTTTTCAGAAACACACTACAAGATCCTGCAGAGATATGAACTGTAAAACCCTAATTTGGGCCAGTTTTGCTTTGGGCGACACTAGTAGTGCCACCCAAACCAAATTGTCATGACCCCGCCCCCTGGCCCTAAAGCGTACGAGCCGGCAATGACAGGGTGCGGGACCGCCCAGACTATCATGACCCCGCCCCCTAGCCCTAAACCATACTAACCTAGGTGCGGAACCGCCTTTTCTCTCTAACTTTATAATCACTTTCTCTCTAACTGTAGAAAGAAAAAGCAATCCACGAAACAAAAAAGAAGAAACAAATACAAAAAAAAGAGGCAACCAACCACAAAGCAAAGATAAACATGGTACGACAACGTGCCTATGTCCACAGGATATGAGCTTCTTTACTAGCAAATGAAAATTAGTGTTACAATGGCCCTCTTCCTCATACCTCTCTCTATTTGCATATTACGAAGTAATCTTCGTTTTTCCCCTTAACCATGAAAAGAACGCCATCGCTATAATATATAGTCTCGTATTACATTGTATTACAATTGTATTATATTGTATTAAAATTTCATTATGATGTATTACAAGTGTATTACACTGTATTACAATTATATTACATCAATGTATTACTTTGTAAAACATTGTATTAAAATGTATTCCAATTGTATTACATTATAGTGCAATGTATTACATTACATTGCGTTACAATTGTATTATATTGTATTACAATTATTTTACAGTTGTATTACATTGTATTACAATTGTATTATAATGTATTACATGGTTTTACATTGTAATACAATATATTACATTCTATTACAACTATATTATATTGTATTTCAATTTTATTACAATGTAAACAATTGTATTACGATGTATTACAATGTATTTCATTGTATTACTATTGTATTACTATTATATTATATTATATTACATTGTATTACAATTGTATCACATGATATTATAATTGTACTACATTGTATTACAATGATTGCATTGTATTATATTGTATTACATTATATTACATTATACTACAATTGCATTACAATTTTATTACATAGTATTACAATTGTATTACATTGTATTACAATTGTATTACAATGAAATACAATTCTATTACAATGTATTACATTATATTACAACTGCAATACATTATATTACAATTGTATTGCACTTGTATTACAATATATTACAATTGGATTACATTGTATTATATTGTATTACATTGTAAAACAATTGTATTACAATTGTAATATATTGTATCACAATGTATTACATTATATCACAATGTATTACATTGTATCACAATGTATTACAATTGTATCACAATTTTATTACATAGTATTACAATTGTATTATATTTTATTACAATGTATTACATTGTATTACATTGCATTATAATTGTATTACACTGAAAAACAGGTTTATTACAATGTATTACAACTGCATTACATTTTATTACAACTGTATTACATTATA